AAATTCTCTAGTGAATGAAAAAAAGTTGGCTGAATCTTTGCAAGTTGAGCTTATTTATAAAAAGGTTACGCCGTAAAAAAAAATGTTTGCTTTTGAGAGTAGAGATGCAATTGTAATAATTCCAAAAAACATTTTTAATGCTATAACATCTCTTAAAGAAAGATTTTAACAACTAAATGAATTTCACCAAACATGGGAAATTTTATATAATCTGAAGAAATTTACCTGCGGACAATGACTTACATAAGTTTTGAAAAGATCTGCATTTGAAATTAAAAATGAAAAATGATAGCAATATTGATGGCACAGAATTATTTGACGAGTTGAAATTTGTATCTACCCTTTTGCCTAAAGATACTCTTGGACGTCCGCTAAATGTCTTGAATTTTATAAAATCAAGTGAATCGCAAATTGTGGTTCTTAATATTTGGATTTTATTACGAATATCTGTCAAACTAATTACTGTTGCAAGTGAGAATTTTAGCAAATTGAAGCTAATAAAAAAATATTTACGATCTACTAAGAATGACGAACGATTAAATAACTTAATCTATAATAGCCATCGAAAATGAAAGAGCAACAGAATTAGACATAACCGAAAAAATCAAGAACTTTGAAGATTTAAAGGCTAAACAAATTAACTTTTACTATTGTATAAAGTTTAAATTAATTCCTGTTTAATCTTTTAAATAAACGATTTAGGATTTGTATTTGGACCTTACTTTTTTTAGTTATTTAATCTTTCTTTTAAAATACAAAACGTTGACCTTTTTTTTTCTGCAAATCAAACCTTTTCGATAATTTTTTTTATTGCAAAGCTAAAAATACAATTATTTTCTGCAATTTTATAATACTTCTAAATTATTTTATTGAGACTTTAAGTTGTAATTTTCTTTCAGTACGTTGTTATATTTTTTCAGTACGTTGTTTTTTTGTTCAATCTTATAGGAAATCCCGGATTTGATAATAGAGAATCCCAGGATTTCGGAATATATAAAAAACCGGTATCCCGGGATTGCAATCGCTAATCAATTGTTGTTGTTTTTATGGTTTTTTTAGATATACATATGTCAACTTCTATCCAGGTCAGAAAATTGTCTAAATGGAAAGTATTTCTTTCACGTGAAGTTGAAGATTGCTTTAATATTTTTCTGGTCTTTTAGATCTAATTTTTCTACGGTTTACAAACTATTTTTGTTAAACAACTTCTTACAAAAAACTTTTATAGTTAATCGCAAAGTTAGAAATATCTTGATCATCTCTACTTTTTGAAAAATGGAGTTATTGTGTTATAATGTTTTTCTACTGTATGAAACATATGTAAAAAAAATTCGGAGGATACATAAGTTATAAAAATGTTTTTATATGGCGTCTCGTAAAAATTTCATTTTTTAAATCGTTTTATCCCTTTTTGAATACCATCATGATTATCTAAAAGAGATGAAACAATAAACGATTAATTTATCTAAATTGAATCAGTCATAGCAGCTAGCAACTATACTCTAATTTGTATCTACCTCTATGTCCTCTCGATTGTTCTAATTTTGTTGTTGACACCAACTTTGTAGATTTAGCAAATAGATTATATCTGTTTTGAGTTTACTGTGAAGCTGTTTCTAGTTTGTTGTATAAGATAAAAATGGTGACCCACAAACAATAACATTTTAAAGCGCGTTTTTTGCAGAATTTTAAATCAAAAGTGCATGTCTTTTAAAATACCGCGTCAAGAAATATTTTTACTATTTCAAAAACTGTAAAACATATTCTGTTCTTTTTTGACAAATATTAACATCTAAGTAAACAAATTCAATTTTGTTTGCGAACATAAAAATTGAAAAGTTTTTTACAGTTGATATTAGAAGTACTCATTGACAGATGATGTTGGAGTTTGAAAAGTTATTTTCAGTAAGACATTCTTTAGTAACAAACCGTCGTTTAAAATTAAATGGAGGAAGAAGGTGTTTGCAACGAATTCGATGATTTAAAAGGTGATTTTTTTTCTGTTATATAAATAAACAATGCTTTTGACATTTTTTAAAAAAACCTTTTCATTTTTTTAGTTAAAAAACTTCCCCAAGAAGTGTTGAACACGCTTGCACATGAATTACCCAATGACTGGAAAAAGCTTGCTCGTAGATTGGATATTTACGATGAAAAAATTGATCGTGTGTTGAGTGAGTTTAATACTGCCTTTGAACAAACCTATCAAATTCTAAACAGTTGGATTAGAAAGTATCCTGACAAAGTCTGGAAAGAAATTAAAAATGGGTTGGTTTATTGCGAAAGAAACGATGTAATTGATAAATGTGAACGAAGTAAGTTTTTTTTATTTATTATAATGAATTAAGTTATCCGATATTTTTATCGCATGAGTTATAATAAAGAACACACATGAGTAGTAAGAAATAATGTCATATGAAAATTTAAAACTAAAACTTAATCATAAACAATTCTTTTTTTTTTTTTTTTTAATTTGTATTCACTCCCAACAAGGCTGCAAGCAACGGCGTCCTATGATTCAACTGAATCTCTAAATTTAATTTAGAACCGAATATGAGAAATTTATTACACAACCGAAAATATTTACGAAAAAAATTAGAAACGAAATTTCAATCGAATTTTCGATCGTAAGTCATTAATGATTTTAGAACCGAATTTCATTAAAATGGTTTACAACCGAAAGTTTCACTGTTATCAAACATTGTATATTTTAGAAAACGATGAGGGAAATCGAAAAATAATGAATGAAAAGGTTGCTGACCCATACCAAACCCTCAGTCGATGAAGCAGCACTCCACTGCGAGTCAGGCTATTTGTCAGTCGATGTATGTACTGAAGCCCCCAGCAGCAGGCTATTTGACGTTAGGTGAAAAAGAAAGGATTTTGTAATTCGATCCAAATTTTTCCGGTTGTAAAATTCGGTTTAAAAACTTTAGGCGCAAGAAAGGATTTTGTAATTCGATCCTGCAATGAAAGTATACTTTTCGGTTCTAAAATTTTCGGTTGTGAAATATTTCGGTTATATTTTCGAGGATAAATATTTTCGGCTCTATCATGCGACACGGCAAGCAACCACTATCAAGTTGGGAGTTACTAGGAAAAAAAAGAACAGAGTTATAGAGCAAGGAAACGGTTGACAGAAGACTTGAAAAGTTGAAGGTTGTATGAGTCAGGAAAACATGAAGATGGGAGAGAGTTCCAAAGGATTGAAGTGCGGGGAAAAAAACTAGATAATGTCGCATGTCACCAAGCCCGATTTTTTACGCCACGTTTAGAAAATTTAAATGTGGCGCGCTAAATTGGGCTTTATGACATGTTACACGATAGTGTTTTAGATGTTGACAATTAAAAAATGTAATTGTTTTGCCATACTTAATTTAAAAAAATTGCATGACTAATTTAATAAAAAATCGATAAATAAAATGATTAAATAGCACACTTTAATAAAAAAAAGAAAACCAAAGAAAACCAAAAAATAAAAATTACATTTTATTTTGATATTTTAAAAACCATCATCAAATATAAACATTTAATTTTGAATTTTTATTCATATATTTGAATTGTTTAAATCAAAGCTAATAGTTAAACAGTTTCAAAATGCGAAGAAACAACAATAATTTTCAGAAGACTTTACATATTTTTAGCCTAACCTTTTTAGTACAAGCAAATGGTAATTGCAAGTCATAATGCTGCAATAGCCCTAAAATACCTCCAAATCATCTTGGATTAAAGCAATAAAATTATTAAAAGAAATATTAAAATAAGATATTTATAGATGTAGTGAACTACTATGCCGATGACCCATTGCTATTACTTTCACTTTGTAAAAAAACGTTGAATTTTTTACTAAAATAAGTTGCCTCACAAGTGAAGAAATAATATCTTCAGCCTAAAATTTTGTTATAAAGTGATGTTTGGTTCATCTATCTTAATAACATAACATTACAAAAATAAATATTTAACTATAAAAAAAAAAGAAACAATTTTTCGTTAAACTTATACTAGCAATAATAATTGGACACAACACCACTCTTCTGTTAGTGCCTTCCCAGTTGGCTTGCGTCGTCCGGAGGTCGTCTTACGGACGTCTAGAAAACCATGAAACGTCTGACGTCCCCAAGACGACGCATGCCCAATGGGTTTTCTGGTACAGAGCAAAATCCAAGATTCTTGTTTTAAGCAAAAAAAGTTTTAAAACAAAAAAAAGACTGTTCGCCACAAAGGAATATTTTTTCTTGTTTTAAGAATTTATATTCTTGAAATAAGATTTTTCTTTTTCTTGTTTCAAGAATTTATATTTTTAAAATATGATTTTTTTTCTTGTTTCAAGAATTTAAATTTAAAAAACAAAAAAAGGAATTTTTTTCTTATTTTAATATTATTGTTACTTAAAATAAGATTCTATTATCTTGTTTCAATAATATTTTCTCTGAACTAAAAAACAATATTACAAGAGTACTTTTTCTATGGAAAAAATTAAACATTATTTTATTGGCAATACTCCTCCCATGTCCATCCCGTACGAAAATTTCCCATGGGAATTTTAGAAAAAAAACCCATGGAAAACCCATTTTTATTTGGAACACGTTCCCATGAAAAAACCATGAGTTTTCCATGGAAAAACCATGAGTTTTCCATGGAAAAACCATGAGTTTTCCATGGAAAAACCATGAGTTTTCCATGGAAAAACCATGAGTTTTCCATGAAAACGTGTTCCAAATACCCATGGTTTTTCCATAGGGTTATTTCATAGATTTTCCATTAAAAACTCTTCGTTTTTCCATTAAAACATGCCACAAAAAAAAAAATAATAATAATAATAATTCCATGGCTTTTCCATGGTAAAATAGTATGTTTTGTTTTCAGATCATTTCAAATCTAATGTAATTTTAATTGCCTTATATACCATAAAACGCAAATTTTATCACGCAACTTTTTAATATTATTGAGTTCTCTTAATCAATGGGATCGCCTTTGCAGAATAAAATCAATAAACGAAGTAAAATTCAAAAATCTTTTAAAAAACATTAATGAAAAAGTTTATTGCAAAAAAGTATCCTCTGGCTCATTTTCGTCCACAATATTGCCTTTCATTTGACGCCTTTTGATTTTCCCTACATCTTGCAGCTTTTCAGCCATTGACTGCTTTATCATTCTGTTATCAACTCCAGGAAATTGTTTATGAACATACGCTACAAAACAAAGCAGGAAATACAAAACTTGTAATACATGAAGTTACGCATTGAACAATCGTATAAAAATATAACGTTTAGTAAAGCCAATAAAAAATAATGCATAAATAATTTTTACAAATGTCTTAATTTGAAATATATAACAATCTTATCCAACAGGGCAGCAACTTTTGATGGATTCAATGCTTGCTTTGCTACTTTTGAAGAGTTAGAAACACGACCTGTTACTGAACTCTGTTCCATCTCCTCTTGGGTGAATATCAAATCCATGAGTAACCTAGCAAGATGAGTTGCTCTTGTCGACTTAATCATGGAAAGCTTTGTGTTTGATACTGTGACACCAAGCCCCAGATCAATCTAAAAGTTAAGCGTAAAACTTGCGACAATCATTTAAATTTTATTTTAATTGGTAAAAGTATACCATGTCATCTAATACTTAAACATATAGCAACTAGATACAATTAAGCATGTTTATCTAATGCTGATCATACTAGCATTTGACAAAGAAAAATGTATTCTCTTTCTGATGTATCAACTTGGAAAAAGTGACAAACAATAGGTCGGCAATGCAAAAGCCGATCTTTTTTTTGCTTTGCTAATTATTAGCCTTTTCGTAACAGGATGCAAAAACTCAAAAGCAAAATTTTGCCGATAAGACATCGGCAAGCTACTATTATATATTCAGTACGGCACTCTAGTGCCGACCTGAATATATAAATGAGTTTTCAACAATTTTCCAATTCTAAAAATACAGCGTGAACACTAATAATGATCAATAATAGCAGTAGTATACAATAACTAAATAATTTACATTTACTACAATTTATATTTACACCTCATCAACTTGTTGAACCCCAATGGCATTTCGCGTAACACTTGATGTAGATAGTGAATTTGCAATAAGTTGTTGATTCTCTAAGAAGGCATTTATAGGTTTATAAATTTATTTTTTAACATACAGGGAAACAAAATATAACAAAATAGATTTAAACAAAGCAAAGAAAAACACTTTTTTTCTAATTAACAATCATCAACAAGGATTTGATTCATAGTATGGGTTTTTATGTCCAACCCTGTATTGATTTAGTACAACTAAAACTTATGTAATAATAATGGGCAATGCACTTTCTCAAATTATAATGGGCATGCACTTTCTCAAATTTTTCTTGAAGTAGACAAATTAAAAAAAAATTCTTACTTTGCTGATTTGCTGATGAATTGTTCACAGATTTACTCAGGGTCGTTTTATGTGCAGCAAAACTTGCTATTTCGGGTAAAATAATAGGAGACGAATTGTCTAAACACTCTGAACTAGATTGGCTCAGGGCTGATGTCAAGCTTTGTTGCATGAATCCAAACATTTTTGGTAAGTCTATAACAACAACAAATAAAAAGTATATACATGCAGCATATTCTGGAAATTTCATCGCTAAATATCTAAATAATCTTAAACTAATCAATAGCACTTTCCATAGTAAAGTTTATATGATAAAAATATAAACTTTATTAAAACCGAGTTGGGCAAACATAGATAAACACATTTACAAAATATTTTTGTCAAAAATGCAAAAAAGCTCAATTCACCATCATTTAATTTACATAATATTTGTTTCATTCGTTCATCTTCTTTTTTAATATGAGCACGTTCCTCTGCTTGCATAGTCATAGCAGCAATTTCTGTAGAGTATAAACATTCTGATATTTAGATATATCTAACAAATTATTAGTTGCACAAATTTAAATGGTTCGAATAGTGTTAATAATCAGTTTTATCAAAACGAGGTGTATTATGTATGATTTTTATGTTAAATTACTTAAATTAAACAATCTTTTTCACCAATAATTCTTTTTGTTATTGTTACTAATCAAATATAAAAATAACCTAATAAATAATAAAACAAGTGGAAAAAATAAAACATTTAACAAAAATTTGTCAATTAATAATTATAACGTTAAAAATTACCATCACGATACTTTTGTACAGTGGGAGCCAATAGATGGCACTGCGAACAACTTGAAGTTGTCATTGCTAATCTTGAAGTATTTGCAGGTTTTAAAACAGCTGTGACAGTTTGTGATTGTGACAGCCAAGGTAATTTTATCGAGGCTTTCATTATCTATTTTATTTTCATTATTATAGCTATTGTTTGAAATAGCTGATAAAATTCTTTTATCAAATGACTTTGTTGCATAATCTTCCCTCTAAGGATATTAATTAGAAAAGTATTTGACATTTTAAATTAGTGAATTAATTTTCATATTTCATTTGTTCATAGTATATTCTGTTTATAATCAAGACATGTGAAACATAGAGGTACACATACAGAAACTTTACAACTATTTAAAAATAACTATTAATGCTTAGTGCTATAAGTACTAAGTCACAAAAAACAAGTTTAGAAAACTTATTTTTAATTTAAACTTATATTTATGTAATCTTTTTGCTTTAAAAATTTAAATATTATCCATAACACCAAATACATTAAAGTTACAAACAAATTAAATATTAATTTTTTTTATTAGAAAAATAAAAAGTCAAATAGATATACTGATAAAAATAACTTTTCTCAAAACCTTTTTTTTTGGGACATTTCAATACTTTTATCACTAAGCTATTAAAATTGAAAAAAATAAAAAATTTATATGTGTAAAATCATATTGCAACTATGCAATATCAAATGAATCAAAATTATCTTTTTCTGTCCAAAATTTATTTTCCTCTTTGCTCAAATCAATTCGCTTATCTAACAAAATCAGCATTAATGAGATTCCGAAAAAATATATAGTAAATTGCACTTAATAATATCTTAACATAGTATTTATACCACTAATTGAAAGCACACGCCCATCGTGTGAAGACCATCCTTCTGGAGGCATCTTCCTCTTTTCGTCCATCCATTCGATCTTGCCAATTCTTTTATTGTCAGTAAGCATTTGCTTGTCACTAACAGCGATTGAAGGCACAATTGAAGTTTGCTGGCTGTTAACCCAAAACACTAAAGCGTGACTCATCTTTAGTTTATTTATTAGTATATTTTTATAACTATTAAAAAAAAAATTGTTAGAGCACTATTCACACGCAAAAAATATTAAAACAATTTTTACAAAACTACAAGCACTCTACTGAAAACAACCAGTTACACAATAAAACTTTCAATTTTGTATTAGACTAATTTAAAAAATTTAAATGATTTAGTTTATTTCATTTAATTTACAATTTAATTTAATTACTAATTTAATATATTATAATTTATTAAAATGAAATTAATTTATTCATTTAATTTATAAGTAAAAATTGCATGAAAAAAGCCTAAACAATCTATTTTACAACAAACTAATTACTTAAAATAACAAGTTTATTAAATTAAAAAAAAAGCTTATTTGTCAAGTTGCTATTTACTTTGCTCTTAAATAAAAATAAGTGAGGCACCTCACAGAAAAAGGTACCAAGTCGAAGAAGACTAGAACTAGAAACTATAACTTGGTACCTTAAGGCGCCTTGCAAGGAAATTTCTGTGAGGCCCCTCAAATAACTAAAATTATCCTATTCTAAGGTTAAATTTTCAATAAATATAATTCAGACTCAAACATTAATTTGTTTATTTATAATAGTCTTTTATAATAGTATAGTTTAATAATATTTATAATAGTTTAGTTTTATAATAGTTTAGTTTTATAATAGGGAGATTCCATGTGAAAACATCCAATTTTTTTTGAAAATGCAACCCTAAGTCTCAGATTTTGCTGATTTTTACACCACTCAAAGATTTTAATAAATTATGAACATTCCCAAAATTTTATCATCTAATTCCAAACGGTTCCAAAGATATGACTATTCAAACTTTGCCTTGAACCAACAAAATTCCGCCATTTTAAAAAATGGTTTTGGTCTTTGTTTCTGTTCTGTATACAATGGAAAGCTGAAAATATGTATGCTAACATATTTTGAGGCAAGGAGTCCAATAAAACAACTTAAAATTTTTAAAAATAAACAGAACACCTGTAATTTTGACCTTAATCGCAATTTTACTGGGGCGAGTTTAATTACAAAAATGCTGATGTAGCTTGATTTTTTTTTTTTTCTTTTTTTTTTAGATGTCATCCTGAATAGTTTAGTTAGAGTTGTTACAAAGAATTGGAAAGTGGTCTTTTCTTAATGGAAAAAAATCTTTTCTTAATGGAATGGAAAAAAAACACGGTCAAATTTACTTAAATTTGTTACATATAAAACAGGAATTATGAAAAATCAATGGAAAAAAAAGGTTGAACTCTTATGTGCCTTATGCACAGAAGTTGGTATTTAATAATTTTCTGGAAATTTTTCCACTTACCCTGAGCTTATTATGACCCCCTCCCTTCTCCTCCTCCCCACTTTCCCTCTTTTATTAAACTTTTTATTCTTCTCCTCCCCCTCTCTCCCCCACCTTCCCACGTTTATTAAACGATATTAATATGAACAAAAAAACTGTACCTCAAATCTAAAAAAAAAAATTTCAGGTATTCTTTTTTAAACTTTAAGACTGGTTTAGGTCTTAAAAATTAGACAATATACTTATAGGGAAAAAAGTCTCCACTCACCTTTTTGTTAAGACTACCTTTCTCTCCTCCCCGCCCTTCCGTCTTTCCCATCTCCCCCCATTTATTTAATATAGATAAAAATTCCCATGTATTAAGCATCTGATAGTAACTTGACAGTTATGAAACTGAAACAGCTTTGACCATATCGAATTGTTCCTTTAATAGTTGCTGACTTGCTTTTTCTGTTTTCTAGGTAATTTTATAAAATTGATCTTTAATTTCAAAAATTTATTATTATTTTACTGGGGATGAATTCAATTATGAAAATGCAGATGTAATTTTTTTTTTTCAAAAGTTGTCTTGAATAATTTAGTAAGAGTTAGATTTTCAAAAGTAAAAAAAATTATCAAATATATAATCATAATCTTAATTATTATTTAAATTATTTAAAAATTATAATCTTTATTATTTTTTAATTATTAAAAAATTTAATAAAATATTTAAAAACATTTTTATTTAATGTTTTTAAATATTTTATTACTATACTAAACAAGTTTTGACTTAATTTTAATGAATAATAAATAATTATTTTTTGATTGACAAGTGACCAACAATTGATTGAGACAATTATTGGTAAATTTTTAATAAATCAATATTTAATAAAGTTGTTTACCATCACCTATTGCCACATTATACGTGCCACAACATGCTTTATATGATGAGCATTTATTATTTTATTTAATTTGGCATTTAATAGTTTATAAAAATGCGTCTAAAAGGTAATTCATTGTCAGAATGTAATAATCAGTAGAATATCATAGCAGATATAACTCTGTTTGTTTACCTGAAAATAATTTAATTTATTTTTATCTACCTGTTTTTTTACCTGAAAATAATTTAAAAAAATAGTTCTCACAACAATAGGTAAGGAACTTCCAATTAGGCAATATAGTGCAATAGTGCTATTTCAGAAGGTGATTTTTATAATTTTGCGGTATAATTTTCAGAATTGTGGAGGAATTTGTAAATAAAGGAAGAGAAATGATAACAAAACATACTGGTCACTTGCACTCATAATTAAGCATAACAATCTTGCTGAACCTTTTCAATCAATTGACAATTTAAGTTTAATATTTTTGTCCAGATGTAATATATGGGGAGTAAAAAGGAAAGGGAAAGGATTTTAATAAACAGGTGGGTGGAAATTTTTATTTTTATTTCTAACGAGGGAAGGAAGGGGGGGGGGAGAAGAATAAAAAATTTAATAAAAGAGGGAAAGTGGGGAGGAGGAGGAAGGAGGGGGTCATAATAAGCTCAGGGTAAGTGGAAAAATTTCCAGAAAATTATTTAATACCAACTTCTGTGCATAAGGCCCATAAGAGTTCAACCTTTTTTTTCCTTTGATTTTTTATAATTCCTGTTTTATATGTAACAAATTTAAGTAAATTTGACCGCGTTTTTTTTCCATTTTAAGAAAAGACCACTTTCCAATTCTTTGTAAAAACTCTAACTAAACTATTCAGGATGACATCTAAAAAAAAAAGAAAAAAAAAAAAAATCGAGCTACATCGGCATTTTTGTAATTAAACTCGCCCCAGTAAAATTGCGATAAAGGTCAATATTACAGGTGTTCTGTTTATTTTTAAAAATTTTAAGTTGTTTTATTGGACTCCTTGCCTCAAAATATGTTAGCATACATATTTTCAGCTTTCCATTGTATACAGAACAGAAACAAAGACCAAAACCATTTTTTAAAATGGCGGATTTTTGTTGGTTCAAGGCAAAGTTTGAATAGTCATATCTTTGGAACCGTTTGGAATTAGATAATAAAATTTCGGGAATGTTCATAACTTATTAAAATTTTTGAGTGGTGTAAAAATCAGCAAAATCTGAGACTTAGGGTTGCATGCCCTGGATGTTTTCACATGGAATCTCCCAATAGTTATAATAGTTATTTATAATAGTACTTTATCTGAATATATAGGGTCCTAGATATCTAGAGCGAAATGAGTGGTATGCCTAGAGCTGCCCAGAAATTTTCGAAATATTTGAGAAAACTAAAATTATGAAATAGGTGTTTTTGTTGGTTTCTCAACTTTTCAACACATAATGTAGGGCCCAAAACTAAACAGGAAGTGCGGGTTGTTAGAGCAATAACTGTCTGGCACAGCACTGTGCAAAATAATATACATTACTGAATGCAAGTAAATGATATTATTTATACTATTAATATCTATAAAAGGTTTAATAATTAAAGAAAACGATTATAGAGAAATTGGTAGATTATAAAAAATACAATGATAATGAAAACAAAAAATTAAAATAGTTATAACAAACATAGCTATATTTTCAACAAACCTTAAACTTTTAAATAATGCTAACAAAAGCTAGAATAAAATACATGATGCATAATAAAAACATAATAAAAAAGATAATTAATGTTCAAATAAATAAAACAACAGATTTATACAACCGGATTAAATCAAATGCAAATAACTAATTAGTCAATTTCCCATTGATTGGGCAGAAAGCACACATACAATGTTACAAGAGAAAATACATTTAAAGGTAAAAATAAACACTTTTGCTGAATTTCATTAGCAAGCATGGCAACCAAAGTATTACTGTTAGAACCAGTAGTTGTCATAATATGTCTAGATATAGCATTATGAGACAGAAACACACATCTCCCTGTAGTGAGTTTAATCAAGAACACGTAACACTCATTGTTAACAATAACAAATGAGCAAACAAGACACAGTATATTATCTCTTACAACTACGCAGTAATTAATTCTACTACAACTCCCAACATACTGCTGACTTTGCACCATTTGGCCATTGACAACTGCTCTTTCAAAAAAAGCTAACTGATCTGGAACTACATTAGGCAAAATTGTCTCTAAAGCTCGTTTTTCAGCATTGGTTAGAAACTTATACTTTGGTGCACCAAAGAGTTTTACATTTTCTGTAATGCAAATAGCTTTTCTTGATGTATTTGTTCTAGATAAACATTGATCAAAAAACTTTATTACGGATTCTGGTACAGTATTTAAATATTTAGCACCTATAATTGGCAAACTTCTGTATAGAGTAAAAGTACGACATATCTGAAGTGGTACACTTTGTGCACCTTTAAAAAGGTCTAACAAAAAACCATTGCTGTTTTCAAACATAAAGTTAGAAATGCCCCATAATGGACCCCACTCACGAGCAGTAGAAGAAATATGCTGTAACAAATGAATATTGTAAGTCATATAATCAATGGCATATATAACACTAAAATCAGACACAAACACATGCAATTGATTTTCAGCTTGATCTAGGTCTGCATGACTAAGACTTTTGCTTAACAATATGTAAATACTTTCCACTAGTAACAAAAAATGGTTCTAATAAACTTGTGGTAAAACACCATGTAAAACAAATAAAGAATAAAATAACAACCAGTTACGCCATTCTGAGGCTTTCTAATGTGCTCTTTCATGAAAAGATCTTGGTGCTCTCCTAATATTACTAGGTGGTTTTATTTTTAACATCATTTCATTCATACTGTTAATTTTATTTCCAATATACCATGGCTCATTGGTCTTTTCAAGCCACAAGACGATCATCTGTCTTGCAACTCCTAGCAAAATGCAATGCATGTAATCTACAACAAATCCATCAATTATATTAAAATAAGGAATCAGTAACAATGGACTGGCACCCTTTACACAATTTCTTATTTCTCCATTTTCTACAAGATACCTCATATCATCAACAAATCCATTTAAAGTTCTGCTTGGATATAACTGATTATCAAAAACACGTTTTGGAGGTCCACCATTACTGTTACTAATTGCAATACCTGGATTTAAACACCACGAACATCCATATTTTCCATTAAATTGTTTAATATTTTGCAAAACACACCTTGCAGAAGAATCACAAGAACATACAAAACAATAAACCTTGCTTACTATATTTTTATTCTGAGCCTTATTAAACCACAAAAACCACTACTTGCTAATTTTGAACATTCTTCGACAAACACCTTTAAAAACGTATTTATTTTAGGCTTAGCACCAAACCATAATGTTAACAACACATGCTTCCTTTGAATGTTAAAAGGCAACTCATTTATTACACATTGCAAAGGCCAAATACTTTTTATAGATGACCTGAAAGCACTTGCTCCATCACAATTCCATGTTAATGACATATTTATTGTCTGTTGCAACTCTGCAATAGATTTATATGAAGATCCATCATAAATGTCCTCAATGTTGTCTGCATTGATTTTAACACGATCAAAATGATACTGAATAAGATCAAATAAATTACTATTTTCTAACATTTCACGTAACTGATGTTCAAGTGGCAGCACAAGAAAAAAATCTCTGTTCAAACTACTTTGTACATCAACTTCACAAACTGGACAAACATCAAAATCACTTATAGTGGTACCCAAATATGTACATGTAAAGCATTTATTACAATAGAAATGTTGTTCCAGTTTGCCTTGGCAAACACTAAATATTTTATCAAACAAATACCTAGTTTTTGGTAACAATAAATGAGGTATAAAAATATGCAATAGACTAAGCAAATCATCCAAAGCAAGTTTTGTCAAGCTATGCCGCAAAACAAAGGCCATTATAAGAGCGATTGCACCGCCAACTGTAATTGCAGAATCAGGTAGAATTTTTTCTTCATACAAAGGATCGGTAAATAAATTATCGTTGACATTATATTCATTACTGTTTTCATCAAAATTAACATCATTGTCTGCTTCACCAATCTAGATAAAATTAATATACACATACTAATCAACTCTCTTTATATACTAATTTATTTATACTTATATACATCATCTGTTATAACTTAATTTAAAATTAGGCATCCACACAACTTTTTGAACGTTCTATATAAATGTTGGCAGCATGCAAAATTTATATTGAAAAAAGTAGCAATGATTATATCATCATTTAAAAATAATAGTTATAAGATTCTTACCTCTTCTTCCCCCGAGCTATTTGCATAGTGCAAAACATCATTCATATTGTCAGACAGAATTTCCTGCTTATAACATAATAAATTAAATAATATAATAAAGTTAAAATATAAAGATTTGCGCACAAATTATTACATATATAAATCTTACTTGCTTGTCAGTAACACTTGCATAAAACAATTAAAGTATTGCTTTTAATTTGTAATTAAAAAAAATTTACTTCTTCATCTGAGCTCTCTGCATGATGTACATCATCATTTACATTGCCAGTCAAAGCTGCCTGCTGATAATGTAGTAATTTAAATAAAATGATAAAGTTAAAATGAAAAGATTTATTCGCATATATAAATGTTAACTGCATTTTGGTAACATTAATATAGAACAAGTCACAAAAAATATATTATTACTCATAAATTGTTATTTAAGAAAAGCTTATTTCTTTGTCCGAACTATCTAAAAGATCTAAATCATTATTTCTATTAAAACCTGCCTGCTTACTAATGCAGTAATTTAAATGAAACTATAAAGTTAAAATAAAAAGTCTTATGCATACACTATTACATTCAAAAATTTATTAGATTTTTACTTTACTATTTAAAACATAATAAATATAATAAATACATAATTTATTAAGTATAGTAATGTAAGAAAAAAAGATTTATACATTAATCAACCAACTTAACTCGTTAACAGTCCATGCCGTAATATTACGCAAATAAAAAGTGGTTTCTAAAAGTCCATGCCGTAATATTACGCAAACTAAAAGTGGCTCCTAAATGTCCATGCCGTAATATTACGTTTTCATACATTTGTTTATATTTTCTTCTTTTTCATCAGTAATTATACGTCTACTTGTCACAAAATTTATTACTACATAATTAAAAAGCTTTTGTTTCAATTAGTTACTTTTACACGTGTTTACTTAAATTTTAAATATGACAAATAAGGAAGTTCTTTCAGTGCAAAAATAATTATCAAAATGTAAGTACTTACTCACTAAAGGATAGAAATTATACATTTGATGAATCAATCATGAAAAGATATATTTAATGAATGATTATTGAAAATGATAACAAAAGATTAATGCTCAAAGAAGGTGTGCGGTATGTTACAAACACATAAATCAAAAAGGTTCAAGATATGAATGTTTAGAATATAAGACATTGTGCAGCTCCATGCTTTTCCAATTCTCATGCAAAAAGTGAATATTAGAGAATACATATTTACAATTTTTTGTTTATATAGTATGATTTATATATTCTTAAACTTGAATAGTGACGTTTTGGAGTGTTTAAAAAGGTTAAAAACAGTAAAAAAAAATTTTATTTTGTTTGTCAACAAACACGATGATTTAAAAAACACGGGACATTTAGCGACCACTTGAAAAAAGAAAAAAAAAAACTGGACTTAATGCGACCGTATTTTAAAAAATACACGGGACTGTTAAATGGTTAAAACGAATGCATAAAATTATATTTGGTCAAGTTATAAATGATTGAAACAAGTAACGTCGGCATTATTAATCGCGCATTTCTAAAACCCATGGTGCAATATGAGCTATGAAAAAAGCCGATTGTAATCCCATGGGATTTCGATTTCTACGGGATTTCCATGGATTTCCCATGGAATTCCATGGGAAATTTTCGTAAGGGATGACAAGTGTATTCAAATAAGTTCAATCACGACATCAGAAAAAAAAAAATTTCATAAAATAATCTTTTGCCACATAAAACAACCACCTCGCCTCCTTCGTCTGTTACGTACAGATAACGACTTTCTTAATCTGAAAATAAATTTCACGAACTCAAATTTATGTTAAATATAAGATTTCCTAAAATTCAACAATAATATCTTTTCATATCTTAAAATGTCAGAAATCTTTACTTTTAAATATATATATGTATATATATATATATATATATATATATATATATATATATATATATATATATATATATATATATATATATATATATACATATATATATATAGTAATTGGAGCAAGTACTTAATTAAGTGTTTAATTTTAGTATCTAAAAACACATTCCTTGTTTAATTATTAATTGATTTCAATACATTATTGTACCTAACTAGCAAGACCTAAAAATGCCTGAGGTTGGTAAGTTTATGCTGACCTTGTTTTTATCTTTTATGGTGAAACCTTTGTGAGAATGGCTTTAAGTTTGCTAATTGTAATCTAATGCCGACCTTAAACAGTTTAAGGTCGGTTATTTATTACTCACATTAGTTTTACTAATTGTGAGGGTTGTGTATACATGCATACTTACCTGTATTTGGGTGGCAGTGGGCAAGGAACTGCTAACTTGTGTATACTATAATGTAAAAGTGTGTAAATGTCTTCAGTCAAGCTTACTCTTGCTGAGTCAACTGTGACAGAGAACTTTAATTCATGAGCTATGTCGCCAATTTTTTTTTGAATTAAATAAATAAAAAAAAGCATACAATATTAAAAAGCAGAGAAAACTTATAAAATAACCCATTAGAGGACATGGCAGTTTTTAAAAAATACGTTCTCACTTTAAAAGATTTGTGATTTTAAAACACTATTACATTATATCGAATAAAAATATGAAATCACAAACAAAAAATAAAAAAATCTAACCACCATCACATTAGAGAAACATGGATATTTCTTTAAAAATGTTGCAATTCATCTCTCTCAACTGGAAATATATTTACCCAGGTTGAGAAATTAAAATTCTATAATCAGATCAATTGAAATGCACCAGAACAAAGCTCTGGTGCATTTTAATTGATCATGTTATAAAAATTAGAATAAAAAAATGTAAAAAAATAAAATTAATTAGTAGTACTAAACTTACTACATGAAAAGTTTTCTTTACTTATTTAACTTTGCATGTATTTGGAAACTTGCAATTGCTAAAAAGAAAGCACACACATATATATCATATATGATTGCATATATGCAACATACACATGCATTTCATGAATATTTAAAAATAGTATTAATAATCTAATGTAAAAGCCAACTGTATATTAATAGCAATAATAATATAAAAACAAGTGTAACAAGAAATAACAATAATAGCAATGTCAAAAATAATATTTATATTAATATAATAATAACAATAACCATAGTAATAAAATTGATAAATATTATTTTTAATATAAAACAATAACAGTAAGTAAAAATGATATGAATAATAGTAAAACAATGTTGATATTTATATTACATATGATCATGCCAAAAGCAACAATAATAAATCAGAACGAGCCCATCATTTTACAAACATCTCTCCAAAATAAAAAGACATAAAGACGAATTTTAGTAGTAAAGTTTAGCAATTTAATGTGAATATAAAAAATGATAATATATATACAAACAAAATGTTACAATAATATAAAATAAAGAACAATGTTTTTTATTAAAATATCATTAAATAAGAATATATAGTATTCTTATGAATTGTGTGAGGGCAGATGGAACATCTCTACTAGGATACAACTTTTAAACAACTAGCAACAGCTTATCTAAGGCTGCTTCTTCAGTAATTATGTTTATTCTTTTAAATTCGCTTAAGATCTAAAAAGATTTTAACACATATGAATAACTTTGTGTCGAAAGTGCACAAAATACAAATTTATTCAAAAACAAAAACCTCATGCTCATAAAAATTTCTAAAATTAATTTCAGTCTGGGATTTAATGTTTTGTAGTGTGTTTAGAGTGTAAAGTGTTGAGGGGATTACCCGTTTAACAGGGGTTTAGGGTAGGTGAGTAATGTTTGAGTAGGGGTGGTGGTTCAAGTTTTAAAGTTTCATACTAGTTTTATTCATGAATGTAACACATAATATAAGAAATTATATTAAAAAGAGTTTATACATGCGGTCATGTGTTCAATCTGATTTTGATACATTTCTTTTATTGCACCTATTTAACAAATAGCGATTAGTAAATCCATATTATAGTGAATGTGTTTACATAATAAAAAATATTTGCTAACAATTTCTGGATGGAACAGGTGCTCTTTGTGTTCTGAATATGGCAGAGAACAGTGCATATTCATTACTAAACAACAAATGTGTTCGATTTCAGAAACTTTTATATCAAAGCAAACTAACATAAAAAAATTTGCATAAAGACTAAATTAAACCTTATTAAATTCTTACTGTATATATAAAGCAATAATAAAAATTTTTTATCTTTAAAATATTATTAAAAACCATTTCTTTTGAAAAAGATTTTAAAAGTATCACCTGCATATCTTCATCAAATGAGCTATCGTTTATCTATATATAATATATATATATATATATATATATATATATATATATATATATATATATATATATATATATATATATATATATATATATATATATATATATATATATATATATATATATACATATATATATATATATATATATATATATATATATATATATATATATATATATATATATATATATAATTATATATATGTTAGATATTATAATATATATTATTATTAAAATTAGATATTATAATATATATTATTAATAATATAAATACATATATAAGTAAAAGATTATTACAACTGTGCACTTTTGTCTAATATGATCTGGAAAAGCAATTACCCCTGAAAATATCTTTAGGAAGATGTAACAACAAGTCCAATAACACCTCGAGTAACACCTGGAAGAATAACACCTGGAAGAAACTTAATAACCTTAACCTGAATAAACTTAATTTTTATATAATTTTTATATAATAATTAATAAACTTAACCTGAATAACACCTGGAAGAAACTTTGGTGGACTTGTACACAACGAATCCTTAATCCACCTCCCCCTCCGCTTCCCAATTGGTTAAATACAACAGTTACTATAGATTTAATTTAGAGAAAATTTAATATGGGGAAAATTATGGTTTCAATAGCGAGAATCTGTTGCAGAATTTTAAACTTTTTTTGCAACATATTCGTGATAATCTTATCCTCTTTGAGTCGCTTTACTTAAGATGTGTGATCTGACCTTGAGCTATCTTTGTTACAATTAATGTTAATATGTTTTCTGTTTAACTTTAAAACTGTTATATATCTGGGCTGTTTTGTTTACAATTTATTAGATTAATTTTGCGTGAAGCGCATTATTTTGGTAAATGTTCGCCTTTGTAACGTTTTATATTTACACATTTTTTCCTCAAAGAATGAGTATAATAATAAATATTTTTAAACTTTTGTAATATATATATTATTAAATATGTTAAATATATATAAATATATATATATATATATATATATATATATATATATATATATATATATATATATATATATATATATATATATATATATATATATATATATATATATATATATATATATATATATATATATATATATATATGTT